CAGACCGGCATGAATTCAGACCGGGATGAATGTAAACACAAATACATTTCAGACCGGTCTCGGCTGTAATCTTGACATTGGAACAACACATGCTAGCAAAAGCCACCTGAAAAAGAAAATTGCCTGGCAAGGGGAATAAATTGAAGATTTTGTGATCCTCGTACCGGTCTCATGTAAACATGTTGACAATTTTCATTCCGGTTTGACTTTGTCCCGGGTCTCATGTAAACAGGGCCTTAGAAGCTCCCCGGCTCTATCCTTACAAATAAAAGAAATATCAGTATTACACCAGACACCAATAAACAATTTTTCAGCTTCTGCTAAACATTTTCTTTCAATGTTTTTTAACCCATTGAGTGTCAGCACTCTCCCCCTGATGAGTAAATAGTCTAGTATTAGACAGTAAAATAATCTGGCATTGGGCAGAGTAAAATAATACACAATGGTTGATCATTTGAGCATAGATAACTGGTTGATCAGTATAAATCCTTGCAATGCATCACACAGTAGTCAATACATTTATATATAGTGTTGCGATAGTGTTGAATTTCCTCCATTTCATTCTTTACAACAATGCTACCACTGGGCACTTCTTCCATCATTCGGTGTGTATGAATGTCTGTCAGGGCAAACAGGGTTTATTGGTAAATTAAAACAGTTATACAATCAGTTGGCTGATGTAATTCTATTGGTGGAAGTACACTATCCAGCTCATCATCTTGACTATCTGGGTCACATGGTGGGATTGCTTGGGATGTTGGTGATGTTGAAATGTCAAACTCCCACAACATAACATTGCTATATTCTTTGTTTATACCACCTCGTAGATCATTAGGGTCGAAGAACTACATGATATGAAATAAAAATACGTTTAATACTGCTGTATTTATACAACAATACAACATAGGAGCATTTTTATATTTCTATTTTTATATAAAAATCATCTCACCTTAAAAACACAACTAGACTGAATTTGTACCAGTGGAGGACTACCGCAATCAGCGAACATTTCATCAATTTTTATCCCGTTAACCACAGCTGGACAAAGGACTATTCTTCGAACTATCTGTATTAAAAACTATAAACATGAACCTCACGTCCTCACGACATTCAAGTTCATCACACGGTAATTCTTCCTGAATCAAGATTAAAGGCTGTTTTGACACACAGTGAACACACAGGGGCTCGTGTCCACCCAAAAACGAAGCTTTCTTTCCATGCATAGTGCAAAAATCCACCATTTTACAATTTTTTTTCGATAAACCTTTTGAAACCTCGAGGTGTAAACACAGCGAAAGCCGACCGAACAATGACGGCGCAGAGCGAGAAATCGATAATATGTAAAAAACCGCGCCTGACCGCGTTGCATGCCGGTATAGTCCTCACTCCTCCTCTGACAAATAGGTATGGATAAACGCATTTTAGAATATTCTTAGTGCAAAATAGTTGGTAAATACACTATTAGGTACATTGACTTGCTCTCCGACGTATACTAAACGCGCGAAAGTTGTCGCATATGATTCTTAATCGCATTCTATACAAGCTATCGAAGCATAGCGTTGCATAAGGGTATTATATTACCTTGTTGACCATGTGGTATTTGCTTCTTGAAGCCTAATACATTATAGTGGGCCATATTTACTACGGGAAGAGAAAGTCCTGCATAAAACACAATTTTTAATGCGCAATGCCTTGGTTATTGAATTTGAAAGATACAGACAATCCTGGACAAAACCATCTGCGACACTCTATTAAAACATTCCTTTGTGGCTTTTTTACCAGTTAGACCGGAATAGTTTACTCGTTTGCCCACCTCGGCCCCCCAAAACAATGTTGGACGTTTTATCCGTATTCTACGAATCCAATCAACATTGAATGGTGGGGGAAAGGGGGAGGTTTTCTAAATTTACGATAACATTGCGATATTTTGTCAAGTATAATTGGAAGTGTCGCAGATGTTTTGTCCAGGATTGTAGCTTCAAACCCGACAGATACACTTTAATCCGAAATATTATGAAGGCCGGTAAACGATCCCATCATACTACATCGTGAAAAATTAAAGTAGCCCATTTCTATCGACACATTAGCTAAGATAGCGGCCAAGTACGAAAACGCCTGACTCGAGCTTAAAGATCTGCATACGGCATTTTCGAGCGACCTGGGGTTTTCCAGGTTTTTTTGTGCCAGCGCGCTAACCAGCATCAAGGCGAAGGATATGACTGTCAATCCCGATAATCTCATACTATATTCGTTCCTACGAGTAAGATCGACCAGTATTGCAATGGTAATCAGGCTTTCATCGCACGAACTAACGGACAAATGTGTCCACATGCTTTGCTTCTTCGTTATTTTTCTTTAGCTAGCATTCTCCCAAATTCAGACAAGTATATCTTCCGATACCTTCAAGCTTCCCGTCAGGGCCGTGCCAACTGGGGGGGGGGGTAAACTTAGTGTTTGAAAAAAAATTTGGCACATCTCCCGCTTCCCCCGTCGCCATAATTTTGAGGAAAAATATTTTGGTTTCTGGAAAATTTTTTGTGGGGGGGGGGGCAAATGGGAGGAAACCCAAATTTTTATTTCACCCCCCCCCCCCCCCCC